TTCCTAATAAACAATCGTGGTACAAAGCTCAATAAAAATATTAAAAAGAAATGTTTTTTTTTTTTTAATTTAATATTTTTCAATAAATAAACAAAAAGTTTTAAACATAAATTAATTTCACTGGATTAAAAAATATTTTTTCACACAGACAATTTCTCACAATGTCTATATACATTATTTTTTATTTTTTATTTTTATTTCCCCTGCTCAAAACTCAGGGAAATTCAATAAATTTTCATGAAAATTTCCAGTTCTTTAAAAAGATTTTTTAGAATTTTTTTGAGTATACAGTTTTGTAGCCCAATAGATTTTGAAAAAAAGTATCAAAATCATTTTCAAAGTACCAGTTTTGGTATCAAAGAACCAAAATTGGCAACGCTGGCAGCGACATCATGAATTTGTATGAGTTTGACATAAAAGTAGAGGAAGAACCTTATCTGTCGCTGGAAAAATAGAAATAGATCAAATCTGGCCACAACCACAGTCGTCGCGTAGCCCTGCCCTGCCGTCGCCAAAATAATTATCTACATAAGAATACGTAGCTCGTCGTTTTCATTGTGTTCGGGCTATTACTAAAATTAATGGATATATATGGCTAACTGCCTAAAAAGTTCTTAAGTTCTAACCTCAGAACTGTTTAGAACAGAAACAGAGAACAGTTGTCAGCATGGCCCACAACTGAAGCTGTTGAATACTTTCAAGACATCGTATTGTAGGAAAATTTTCAGACTTTTGCTTAAGAAAAACAGGCATATGTAAGCAAATGTAAGCTTAAGGCGCCTGTAATGAATAATTTATACAAAAAAATTCAATTAGCAGAATAATTTCGAAAAATATAAAAATTATCTTTTAATTTCGTGCTTAGGAATGCTAAATAGTACGAGCATTATTGAAATGCAAATTTGTTATTTGTTTGTAAAGAAAAACAATTGGGTTTCTCTTAAATACTGACGTCAAATTTAGAAAAAATATGTAAAAGTAAAACATGTGTTTTCCGCGTAGAAAGACATTGCTGTTACGACAGCCTACTTACATACATACATGGCAAGATGTATTAAATAAGGTATGATTAACAACTCAGGGGGGCACTCTTTTAAGGGACTATAACGTCAAATTATAAAAAAAAAAACGAACGAGCAATTTTCATTTTTAAATTTTTATGAGAGCCATCTGAAATCAATCACAGTTTGTTAAATACGTTTTGAGAAGAAGATTCTTGGAGCAGCTTTGCCAGTTTGGCCTTTTTACCGTCATTTTAACGTTATATGATATAGTGTCGATCAAAATTTTGTAGGTCAACTCAGAACTCCACAATACGTATGTACGTAAACCGAATTTCAAGTCGATAGTCGAAAACAATGAAGTTGATATACATACATATGTACATAAGTCGGCAAGATCGGTTATACATATAGTGCCTCGAACCAAACTAAATTTATTAGGTCAACTCAGAACTCTATAATATATATCTAAACGGGGTTTCAGGCCTATATATATTTAGACTATTTATTTTAAATTTGTTGTCCATATAATAGTGCAATGTGTGCTTCTTGGCCGATTTTAGGTTCTGTAGGATCCGTTTTCGATTCTTTTGGAATGGTATCTCAGCTCGTTTTACTTATTTTTTCAGTTATACTGAGATCATTTTCCCCTTCTTCCGGAACCATTATATAAAGGAGTGGCCCGGCGGTGAGAGACTCGTTTTGAATGAACAGCCTATTTACTAAAAAACGCAGCATATATTTTCCAAATACGTATAATTTTCTTTATTTAAGTTTTTAGAGCCCACAGTTAAGTCAGGTAGGTTAAGTAAGGTAGATGTGGCTGTCACACAGATAGGCCACGAGTTGAAGGCCCGTTGTGGTACCACGACTAAGAGTTTTCATTCCCCCTTGCTAAACGATTTTGAATCCTTGAGGAAACTTGTCAGACACCTAGGGTTTAAATCTCCCAATTTGTCAAGGTCACTAAAGAAAGGGGACCACAGAAAGCGCAATCAGCTTCTCGATAATGCCGGGCAGTTAAAGAGAAGGTGGAGAACTGACTTCTTCTCCTCATAGGTCTTGCAACTTCTGCAGCATTTAGGGTAAGGCACTCCGTGCCGTTTTACGTGTTTTCCTATGTATAAGGTCTGTTAGAGCACCAATTGTGTGGGATGTATCCTCCCTCTTTAGAGAATATTAGCTTCGAGACCGTTTGCGATCCCACCATGCACAGTTTGCTTAGAAACCAGGCCAAGTTTGCTTTGAAATTCGACAGTTCGTAGTTTGCATCCATCTCTCGCTCGCGCGAGCATAGATAAATTCTCTTAAAATCACCAATACGTTCTTTGTCCGGAAGAATCTACTTGGTCGTAGCCATACAGTAACCCTCTCTGTCCCTATTAACGGGAACCCAAATAACGTTTAGACTGTTCTGCTTAACCATCTCGGCGACAGTCCAGCACATTTTTTGATTTAATTGTTACGGAATTCACAGCTTTAATTTCTGCCTGGCTGTCACTAAAAATGAACACCTCTATACCTTTTAAATCAGTTCTAAGTTCGTTTAGAGACTCCATTATGGATGAGACCCCAGCCTGGAAGACACTACAGTAGTTCGGTAGTCGAAATGAATGGCTCACCGTAGGGCTACGGAAGAAGAACCCCCCTCCCACTCCACCGCTCATTTTTGGAGCATCTGTGAAAATTACTATACTACCGGGTGGAGTATAATAGTTTTCTGCCCATTCCTCTCTGCTTGGCATTTTCTTAATGAAGTTTCTATCCGGAACCAGAGTTTCAACACAACGCTCTGTATAATACGGAAGAAAGCTATGTTTTTCCAGAATGCAGGAGTGACCCAACAATCCCGATTCCCATTGCTCTGTCTTTCTTAAGCGGAGTACAGTAACAGATACCATCTGCTGACCCACTAGATTTAGTGGTAGAAGATGCAAAAATACATTTAAAGCATCATTGGACGTGGTCCGGATTGCTCCGCTAATGCAGATCATACTAATCCTCTGTACATTGCTGAGCAAATTAAGATTTGATGCCTTAATCAAAGCCGGCCACCATACTATAATTCCATAAAGGAGAATTGGTCTAACCACCGCTGTGTAGATCCAGCGGCATATACTCGGGCTCAACCCCCACTTTTTACCATTGGCCCTCTTGCATGAATGACCCCTAAGGATTTCGCTTTATTCGTAAAGCTTAAGAGTCGGCTGTTTTGTTTAGGCGGAGTCATTAGCGGTGTTTTGTATCCAGTTCTACTTTCTTCGAATTAGCGCAGAGGCCGCAGAGCGTTGACCATCATGATGCTTCGCGAAGTGCGCGCACAGAGTTTGCAGGAACTTGCCCTTATACACGATGGCTACGTCATCCGCATAAGCAACAATATTGGCGCTTTCCCATTTAATCTCTCGCAAGTGAGAGTTCACGGTTAAGTTCCAAATGAGTGGCGAGAACGTCCCACTCTGCGGTGTGCTCTTGGTCACATATCTTGAATCCGAATTGTCATCGACGTTTGCCGTGATCACCCTGCACAAGATCATTTGCCTTATAAACTTCACCAGAGAACTGTCCACCTCTAGTCCTCTTAAGGCCTGTGGTATGGCCTCTGAGTTTATATTGTTAAAAGATCACTCAATGTCTAGAAAGGCTACAAAACAGTAGTCCTTGTAACTGGAGGATTTTTCAATAAAATGGATGGGGCTTTCTTCGAAATCCTGGATTTAAATACACGCAGAAACAAATTCATCGATGTAGTCGTTGTTTTTAAATTCTATTAGGCTTTTAGTGAGTAATCTACCGACCGAAAGAAAATGACGTAGGACCTTTCTTTATTAAGATAACCATATGTCTGTATATGTATATTTTTTAATTATTCTCTCCCCACAGCTTTTTAGAGACAATTTCATGCAAAATGAAAACACTTGCATAGGAACCAATCTGCTCAGCTCACCTCAGGCTATTAAAGAGTTACAGAGGGAGTGCAGAGGGATACTCAAGGAAAACATCTCTTTTGCTGCACGCAATCTTACCAATGGCGAGTTGGCTGCCATCGCTGTCAATCATCTAATGGTATTTATGTATACATACATACACATCCTTTCTTAAGCACTTCATATTCATACCCTCTATTTTCTCTTCATTGCAGTCTTCAAAGTTGCAAAATGCTTCATTGGGTGATGCCATGAACAACTTCCAATCGCCTGAAATGAAATGCATTTTTGGAGTTCTCCAACGCATTGAAAGTAGCGTTGACATCTACAGGGCTTTAGAAATCGATAGCGTAATAGAGATTGTCTTCCTATCCACCGGCGCTAATTACGTACAACGTGGACTAGCGAGTATTTTATCGGAGCACTCCATCAATTATGCGCGTCGTTTACTAAGTGGCACACTGGCGGAGGAAGATTTACCAGCGGCACATGTGCGGACGCTTAAACCTGCTGCAGTTTGCTCCATATTCACATCTCTATTCACACAACGCATTGGGCGCAAGTTTAATTTCGAGATTTTAAATAAAGTGCCATTTAGCGAATTTTCATTTGAGGGAAAAACATTCGCTGAACGCATAGATCCCATACATGAGTTTGCGACATTTGAAGCGTTGCGATTGTGAGAGATGGCTGAGTGGAAAATGAGGTGGGGAAAGATGTTAAAAATACGCAAATACATACATACATACGTATACGATTATGTTGCTAACCAGGTGTTTATTGTGAATAGAATATCGCTTGAGATACGAGTATTTGTAGATTTGAAGTCATAAAACTAAACGTTCCGAAATAAAGGTCCTTGACAAATCTTGGGCGTGTAGAGTATTTTTTCTATTATTAGGGATACAGTAAATTTATAGCATGTCTATTATCCCAATATTCGAGAGAAATTCTATCTTGCAATGTTCGGACCCTCCATAGGAATGGCCGCTATCCAACTGCTGCTTTGCTTTGAGAAATATCAGGCTACCATCCACACAGTGTAGGAAATGCGACGGCGCATAAATTTGGTGTGGTACTTGTAGCTGTGCCTAGATAGCATATTATTATTATTTTGTTTAAAATCGACATTGTCTTTTAAGTTTTAAGGGGAGAGGGTAGCTGATATTCAGTGCCAGTCATCCTAATTTTATCCCTCTTCGTTTGAACGTGTACTTCCCAATTTGCTATAGGATAAGTTTTCACGAAACCTGTTATGTAAAGGCACGTCAGCCATCGCGCGCCTTGATTACCTCAAGTTTTGTAGTGATGTACATACATACATCAACTAAGAGGATGGCTCAATAAGCTATCATACGTCTTACTAGCGAATTTTCGAGGAGAAACCCCAAATTTTTCCTGTCATAGACCTGTCTCCTTTTGATACGATTGTACCAGGTAGTTCACCGTAGACAACCACAGAAGAGAAACGACTGGCGCGCTCTGTTGGACTCTGCCGAAGGCACTTAGGCAGTTACAGCGGCAAACAAGAAGAATAAGAAGCTTTTCACTACAAACGAACCGAGACAGATTGGCCTCAAGGATTTAGGAAAAAATTTTTTTTGTGTAGGTATATTCTGAGCATCTCGGAATCTCCACTTTCGTCTCTCAGACTTTTGTAGTGTCGGTCAGGTGTAACTGACAGCAACTAAAAAGGTCTAAGTAGCGAAAATTTCTGAAACTGATTTGCCAAAGACCTGCTGTATGTTGACAAAAACTTGTTTTTACCAGGTCAAAAGCCATACTGATAAGGCCCAGTCGGTTCGTTGACGGTGTGCTTTAGCCTTCCACCCAACGCGCTCTCTGAGGCCTTATAGCCGATGGTCGGAGGATTGCTCTCTTGATAGAAATCGCGTATATGGCTGGGTTTCTCTGCTTGTAGGCATGCTTTCGTCAGACAATATTTTGCTTAGAATATCTTGCATGCACCTCACCAGCTCCTCGCCGTCATATTTCTCCAGCGACGGTACCTAACGTCGTTATGTGGAATACCGTTCTTTAAGGGCCGGATATTAGTGATCTGCTTTTTAGCATTTTAACGGGCTTTCGAAATGCGAAAGATTTCCTTTCGTTTGCAATACATTACCCTCTACGCACAATTACTCAATATGTCCCCCTGCTACGTTTCTGAAGGAATAAATGTAGCTGCCTATTGTAGCTTAAAAAAAATTCGAATTTAAAAAAAAACTTAGTACTTAATCTCACTTTTAATTTTTTTTTTTGTGTTCGCTAGTTAAGTCTAAAAAAATGCTTACTTAAGTACAAATACGATTAAAACAACACCTCGTTTTCATTCCTTGTCGCTCTTGTTCATACATACGTACATACATACTAGCGCATATTGACTCTGCATGAACAGTTACTCCAAGAATTGATCCTATGTTGTTGATCAATTTGTATGCTGAAACCAGGGACCGAACATAACAGTCATTGATGAAAACTGTCATGAAACAATTCACTATGAAGGAAATGTTCTACAATTAAGTGAAACATACCAATCGATTTCGTTTTGCACCGAGACTCAAATTTGAAAATAAATTTTTATTTGCAATTTTTATGCAAAATTTAAAAAAAATAACAATTATATTTGATTTTTATATTATAAATCCAAAATAACAATTATTTTTGATTTTTATATTATGTGGCTTAGATAACAGTTATTGAAGAGTTTTATTTATAAAAATCATCAATAAAAATCAGTCAGTGACTTTTACTTTTAAAAGTCATTAATATAAATCAGTGACCGACTTTTATTTTTTAAATCAATCATATAAAAGTCATTAACATTTTTCGCAGTTAAGAAGGTGTTGGAAAACAAAAGTTTACTACGACTTATTCAAATGACTTTTATAAGTATGATTGAAAAAATAAAGATCAGTGACTGATTTTTATTTATGACTTTTATAAATAAAAGTCTTCGATAACTGTTATTTAAGACATACAATTTAAAAATCAAAAATAACTGTTATTTGCAGATTATTTAAATAAAAATCAAAAATAATTGTTATTTTCGATTTATAAAATAAAAGTCAGAAATAACGGTTATTTAAAAAGTAATTAAATAAAAGTCAAAAAATAATTGTTAAAGAGTGATTTTTAACCGACTTCCAAAAAAGGAGGAGGTTATCAGTTCGTCGGAATATTTTTTTTTTTTTTTGTTTTTTATGTATGTTACCGCATAACTTTGGACCACGTCAAAAATTCTAGACTTTTAATTCAATTTATTTGAAGAAATCGACCATTATCTGTGGTGTAATTGAAAAAATAATAATAATAATTATTGAATTATGTCGGTGTTTCATTTTGTTTTTAAGAGAAGCACCGAAGTAGGGCAAATTTTTTATAAATTGCACTTGTTATATAAACAAGTAATTTTTAGCAAAAAAAAAACCGACTTCAACTCCCATATAAAAAAAATATATATATATATATATCTCATGATCCACTGATCGGATCTCAACCAGATTAGTATGGGACCACCTCTGAGACACTACCTTTCCGATGCAAATTATCGAAATCGGTTGACGTGGTCCAAAGTTAGGCGGTAACATACATAAAAAAAAAAAAAAAAAAAAAAA